GATGTGATTTTTAGTTTACATTGGCCAGCCACTGCAGTGCCCATCAAGCAGAAGGCATCTTTGCTGCATGTCAGTTTAATTTTCACATCCATGCCATTCAGCAACAGTTTTTCTTGAAAAAACAAATCACTATGGAGATGACCAAGCAGCTCTATCTTTTTGCTCCAGTCTGTCAGGTTTGCCTGTCTCTGAAACCCGTGATTATCGCCATCCTGCGCAACCATTTCATGATGCCCGGGGGTATCTTTGTAAAACAGGCCGGCAGAAAATTGGGTGGTGAGGGTATCATTGCTGTAGTTGAGAACCGATTCAATGAAGGCTCGGTAAGGGTAACAGTTGATGCTCTGGCTTATGAGACGATCTCCCAGAGCGACATCCAGCTGACTGAAGACAGAGGCTAGCAGGTAATTCACCAGCCCCACTGCTGCCCCGGCATCAAGATCAGTTCCATCACTTTGTACAATCTTGCAGCAAAGGTGCAGCAGCGTGTTGTTCAAGTCCATGTAATCTTTGCCATTCCCGCTATGAAAAAGTTAAGGGGGCTGGACTTGGTAATAGCCGAGAGTGGGGGGGATCTCAACATACAGGCTTTTCTCAATGCCAGACTGTGTAGGGGCTATTTGGAACACATCCAGTTCGGATTTGGCGCATTCTTCAGAACCGCAGTGAACAAATGCCATGGCAGTTAAAATATATTTCTGTTTCCTCCAGGAGAGCGCCCCTTCATTTTCCCAGGCTGCTGCTTGGTTTTTCATGTGTGGCAGCCCCATCGACTTACTCTCTTCTTTTTAAGGGGTTGAGGGGGTCCTGCACGTCCGGAGTCTGGTGCATCTGTCATCTTTTAAGGCTCTTTCTTTGAATATACATGAGGCTGGATCCCTCCTGCTTTGCTGGCTTGACCACTTTATCCAGGACAGCTTGGGAGATGTGACTGATCACCTCTTTGGCTATGTTTTGTGCCGCATTTTTAGCGTGGGGCTTAATAATCTCCAGATTCCTTCTCAAAAACGGAACAGCTTTTCTAAAGAGGCTGCGAAATATGCCTCCCACACCAGCCTGTACATCACGGGCACCCCCTGATATCCGGGGAGACCATACCTGGCCTGGGCTTTATAATAATTTCTGTACAAGTTAGGGTCCCCATAGTTTTTTACCATCACCATCGTGCTTTTACTTATTTTAAAATCTCAAAGTCTTCTGGGGGTGTAGCTGAAGCTTAACAATCACCTTACCAAAGCAAAATGAGACGTGTTTGTTCTGATCCATCTTTATTTCAATGCTGATTGTGTCGATGTGATGCTGACTAATGGGGACATAATTCCGCTTGTCGTATATGATAGTGACAAACTTGTTGCTCCCACGGGTAGGTATGCAGAGTAGCAAAGAAACCGAAAAGTCCCTGACAAGCTGATGTTCCACAATGTCCATGTAGACATACAGTGAATTGAACCCACTGGTAATATCAGCTGGGTAGGGTGGTTTTTTTAACAGAGGCCCTGGGTAGCATTCCCAAAATATAGGCTAGCTCACCATGCGTATAAGAACCATAAGAGTTATCTTTGGATTTAAGTCTCACTTTTCCAATCACTTGGTCATAGTGCATAACTAATTTGGGTGAAGCAGGGTGGGTGGTAATTGTATTGTTCATAAGATCCAGTAACTCTGTGATGGTTGTATAATACCCCTGAAGCAGCAGATACCCCCATTTTTTAGTCCCAGAAATGATTTTGAAAGGGGTGTCTTCGTTGATGTTGTTCCAGTTGTGCGGGTATTGTATTTCTGCTAACCCTATCTCCCAGTTCCCAAGCAGATCCAGAGGTTTAACCAGCTGTATGGTAAAGTTCAAGCTGGTGTTCTGTGGAAAAATCCTTGCGCAAGCGTTGCTGGGCAAAGTGATGTAAAAGCCGCCATCACACATCTTGGCCTTCTGACTGAGGTACCCCTATATGTTACAAACTTGGGAGGCTTCCACCCAGCTGTTAAATTTAGCTGGCCATCCCAACCATTTCACCAACAACCGCTTCTTCCCTTTCCTTTCGTTGCTAGAACTTTTTCAACCCTGTAAACTCTGTCCTGTTTGGGGTTCACTTTTTGTAGTTCTTCAGGGTAAAAAGAACCCTCGATAGGTTCATCTTCGTAATCTTTTAGGTGGTATACAGGCATTTGCCTGCGTCTAAGGACTTCATCCACTATGAAAATCTCATCGGTGACTGTTTGTTCATAACCTTTTTCAAACCTCCCTTTGGTCCTAGACACCCTCACATGGTCTCCTTTTCTAAACACGGGTGCTACTGGTTTTATTTTGAAATAGTCCCCATACATGGTTTTCCACACCTGTGGAGAGTTTGAGAAGTTCACGTCAACAGGCCTGGTGCGGATAGTTCTATGAAAACTGTGGTTGTAACTCTTTATAAACTCTGGTAACACATCAATGTAACAAAAGGTGTTGCGGGCTTTAAAATACCTCCACATCTTTGATTTTAATGTTCTGTTAAATCTCTCTACCACTGCCGATTTCACTTCACTGTTCATCACAAAATGGCGAACATTATACTGTTTTAACAGTTTGCTTAAAGACTTATTTAAAAATTCTTTCCCTCAATCAGTCTGTAATTTTTGAGGTATGCGGCCTCTGTAAAAATGGTTTTAAAGGCCTGAGCTATTTCACTGCCTGACTTGTTTTTTAGACCCACGGCCCAGGAATACTTTGATAATATGTCTATCACTGTTAAGATTAACATAACCCCACAATTGTGCTTGGAAAACTGCTGCATATCCACCAAATCTGCCTGCTGTTGCACATCAATATCTGAAACAACAGTCTTGTTTCTTTTAAAATGTCTTCTCGCCAGTTTGTGTAGGGTGTAAGCATCCTGATCTGAAAGCCAGGCGGCCACCCTGCTTCTGTTCAGAACCTTATTCTGCCTTTTGGCGGCTTCAAAAAGCGTGTTCACACCCGCAAAACTGCCCGCTCCCGGCCGGGAGCGAGTAATAAATTTCCTTTAACATAGCCTCCTGTGTAGACATGTCTGGTAACCACTGCCCCACACCCACCCCACACTAACACCCTTGTAGTGCATTCAAACGCTTGAGGACAAATTTAAACCGTGGTAAAACAAGGTTTATTAAGCAGGTAAGAAATACAACATTAACGAGGTCTTCAGCCTCATCTTGAACAGTTGTTCAAAACCAGGTCACGCAAGAAACCTTCTTCTGAACAGGGGGGTGGGATACTTTTTTATTTGAAAATAGCCCCCAAGTACACCCCTGCTCAGTGACCTCTATGGGCTCGTAGCCCTGCTCTGTGACTTCCATGGGCTCGTAGCCCTGCTCAGTAATTTCCACAGGCTCAAAGCCGGGGTTAACGGTCATTGTCTTTGGACAAAAGTGTTGCATCAGTCTTTGGTCTCGAACTGCTCTTTTGGACACAAACAAAAACAGTTCACGCAAAAGACCTTTACTTTCAGCGGGGTACCATTGTGCATGTTTTGAAAGCTCTCTATGAAGGTGTCATCTACCTGCAAAAACATTGTTATTAACACAGGCCCAGACAGTTACAAGAAAATCACCCCCACAAAAATCAGCTAAATTAGTTACCTCAGCAGAGTCCCTTGAGACAGAGTTGTCCACACTCTCCATAGGCGGTTCTGATACGGACTGCTCAAGTTCTGTCACGGTCCCTGGTCTTGTTTTGGTAGACTTGGCATCCATCTCATGCTCCTGAATCTCCTCCATGTCTGCCCCCCATGTCTGAGCACGGTCTCAGACAAACAGCTGGGAAAGCAGCTAGACCTGGTGGGCTTGCAGCCTAAATCCCACCCCCTCTACTCGTTCCAATTGGTCATTCTTGGGAGGTCCGAGGCCTCTGAAACCCCCACCAATTGGTCAGGGGTGGTGGGGGCAGGTTGTCAGAGGGGTCACACCACCACCACTGCCACCCCATAGAGCTACCTGGGGGCTAGAGCAGTCTGGGACCTGATAGGTCATAACTGTACCATGTGGTCTAGGGAGGGTCTTGCAGCATGAGGGGTTGGGCTTTGGGGGTCTGCATGGGCTGTCCTTCTGATGTCATGGACCATGTGGTGGTGGCATCACACACCACGTGACTGAGGGTGGGGGCGGAGTTGCTGATGTCACACACCACGTGACTGGGGGTGGGGACGGAGTTGCTGATGACAGACCATGTGACTAGGAGTGGGGGCGGGGTTGGTGATGTCACACACCACGTGATTGGGGTCAGGGGCAGGGCTGGTGACATCACACCACACGACTGGGGTCAGGGGGTGTGGCTAGTGATGCCACACACCATATATGGGGGATGGGGTGGGACAAAGGGGACGGGACTTCCGGTCCAGCCCACCTGTCATGTTTGCATTGGAGGGCAGTGAGCCTATATACTGCTAGCCTTAATCCATGCAGGTTTTAAAATATGCTTAAAGTTCAGCATGTGTGCAGCTATTAAGTATTAAGCTAAATCTGGGCTCTTGTCTGCTTGCTGACTCATCCCAGGTGCTCAGAATGTTGAGCCATTAGTTGACAACATTAAACATTTTTGGATTTCAAAGCTTTTTCAGAAAATGGCAGTAGAAGAAAATCATATTTTCATTTATTTTCCTGCTTGCTTGTTTGGTGGATTGATTTTTTACTCATATAAACTGACATTAGAAGGACCAGCAATAAGAGAAATTTATTGCTCAACAACAGGTTTCTCATCAAATTGTGATGATAGCAATGAAGGAAATCAATTTTTGCCAGAGTAATTCAGATAAGGCGTAGTACTGACTGTCACTAAGGGGAGAGAAAAGTGGGAGGAACAAAGCTATAGAGCTGGAAGGCAGGAGATTCAGAGAAAAACCAATACCAGTACCAGTCACTGTACTGAAATTGTTCATGACACCTTCCTCCATTATAAAAGCTTTATAACGCTAAAACAATTAACAAAATTGATCTCCAAGTCTCTGCCTAATTCTTTGTGACAGGCTAGAGAAAGAACAACTCACCATATATTCAAAGACAAATGTCAGAGTCTCTGTTGTCTGGAAAATGTCATGCAGGACCACAATGTTGGCATGTTTCAAATGCTTGAGAAGGGAAGCTAAGAAAATATAAAGGAGGAAATCAACTTAAGAGCTACCAGGGGAGTTGAAGTAGCATGTTAATGTCCTGGGATGCGCATGACTCCATCAATCCAGCTGTCTGAAAACGCTGTTGGGCTAGATCCACTGAAGCTGGATCAGTGAATTGGAAACAATACCATCCTGCACCAGTCTGACCCCTGGTACTGCAAGGAAGATTTCTCTCTAAACATTGTCACCTCTGGATCTCACTTGTGATTTTCTTCAGGGAGGCAACAAATTTAGAAACCATTGCAACTAGCACGAAGAGACAAGAAGGTCACTACACATTCTACACATTCTGTCCCTTCCCAGCCAACACCTGCAAGTTATCGGACAAGTTTTGGGCTAGGTTGGCCCTTGGCAACAATCCCACAGAAGGGAGTTTGTAGTCACTTTCCATCCTGCCAATGTCAATGGGACTGTACATGGGATTTCTGCCAACATAAGATGGTGTGGACACAACACCATATTTAGCCCTCTGCTATTATTTTTTAAAAGTATATGCATATGTATATATGTAAGTATATGTATAAGTATATATACAGCTTAGGGCTCTAGAGCAGGGGTGGGCAAAATATGGCCCGCAGGTTGCATCTGGCCTGCCAGGCACTTTCATCCGGCCCACCAATGAATTGTACCCCACCCAGCCCTTCTGCCCATGAGGGTGGGAGTGAGGTGCCCATGCATACACCCTCCCCAACATATCCTATTAAGCCTCGCTCCCACCCTCATGGGCGGAAGGGTCTGGCCCAGCCAGTAGCAGCTTCCGGGAGGGGCTGCTGCTGCCCCTGCCTCAGCTGGGGGCTGCTGCTGCCCCTGCTGCAGCTGCCCCCATGGGAACCTGCTTGCCTTCCCAGGTGTCCAGCTCACTCTGGGCAGCAGGTAGGGAAGCAGTGGGGGCAGGGGCAGTGGAACTGCACCTGGGTGGAAGCACAGAGAGCAATGCGGAGCCCGCACCCAGGAGGGTGGTGGGAGCATGGAGCTCAGCTGGGCAGGGTTTGGGTGTGAGGGAGGGTGGTGGCTGTGGGGACACTCCACACACTCCCCCACATGGCACACAGCCCCCATTGCCAGTAGCAACAGCAGGCGGGGGCACTCAGGATACTCGTGCCTGGTGCAGGTCCTGGCACCTGGCAGGGCGCGGCTCTTGCCAGCGCTGCACGCATGGGCAAGGAGCTCAACCTGCTTGGCCCGCCTCTATCACAAGGTCTCCAGGCTGCATGCCTGCAGCTCCCACACTTGCACTGGGGGAAGCCCCATGCTGGAGCCAGCTGCCTTACCTGCCCACTCCTGCCCGGGTCCCTGGACTCTGCCAAGAGTGAAGGGAGCCCCATCCCCTACTTCCCTGTAGAGTTCAGTGCAGGGCTTCCCCCAGTGTGAGTGTGGGAGGTGCAGGTGCATGGCATGGAGCTCTCATGATAGAAATGGCCTGGGTAGGCTGAACTCCTCCTTCTTCCCCACCACATGTAGTGCTGGCCAGAGCTGCGCCCCACTGGGTGCCAGCGCCTGCACTGGGCATGAGCCCCCTAAGCCCCCCCTGTCTGCTGCTGCTGCCTGCAGCAGGGGCTTCACACCATGTGAGAGAGTGTGGGGGGGTCCCCACACCCCCCCACCCTCCCTCACACCCCACAAACCTTACAGTCCCACACCCTGCCCCCACAACCCTAACTGATATATACACATACCCCAACATACCCTATGCCCCACCACACATAGCCACACCCCCTCACAGTACGCCCCATACATACCCCCACACCTCACCACATATGCGCACACACACATACATCCCCCCCCCCACATCTCACCATACACACACACATACCCCACACCTCACACCCCTCCACATAATACACAAGAGTAAGACTTTATTTTTGGGTTATTATACAGTCACCTACATATACAGGATGCAAACACAAATCATGACAAAAATATTTTTTATAATAAAATTAAAATATATTATAATAGGTGTTTGACTTTTAGTGTATGATTTGTTTTATTCTGGTTTTAAGATGGCAACCCCCCCTCCCAAAAGGAGTATTGGGGGAGGGGCAATGGGAGAGACTTCTGGTGGCGAGGATTAGGGGGCAGGACTTCTGGTCCCAGTATTGCAAACAGCGGGCAGGGCTACCCATGTAGCCCTGGACAGCTCACCAAAACCCATTAAGCGGCCCTCCAGCTGAAATAATTATTCGTCCCTGCTATAGAGTGCTCTCTGATTAGTTGAGGGTGAAGTTATTACATTAATATTTACACAACCTCAGCATTTCAATATTTTTGCCTCACTATTGGGCAGAATTACTGCAGTTGTCCAGTCCCTGGACTCAACTGTTTTTCCTCTTGGCATGCTTCAGCATTTCTCACATTAGGGCAGGATCCATCGAGCACTAACAGAAAGGCAATTTCCCAGGAAGAAAGTTGAGCTCAAAGCGGTTGATGCTTATTAGTAATATTATAGCAGTGTCCAGTTCTGCAATCAAGATCAGAATTCCATTTTGCAAGACACTTTACCAACACACCCTAAAAGACAAGTTCTGACCTAAAAAGTGAAGTGACTCAGTCACCAGAATCATAAAGCACATTTGGCTTTTTATAGAACGCTCTGCATTCCAGCTTGGGAGAGGCATCGGATGGGGGGGAAATAGCTATTTAAAACCAAAAACATATGGGCAAAGAAGTTAACTCTGTAAGCTGGTAGCCAGGTAAGGTAAGTGAAAATGTCTGGCTTATGGCTTTAGTTCCTTGAGTAACTTACTTTGAGATGTTCTGATGAACCCCTATAAAACAAGCTTGTTACGTCTTTATATTCTAAGATCTAGGTTGTGCCTGGCCTGTAACGGCAGAGTAGGGAAGAAAATGCATAAAAATTCAACAGCTTGGGCAGAGTCCTATTTCATTTTCTGTACTTGAATGGCAGTTGGGCAGCCACTTAAATTCCATTTTTGGCACTTGCACGGTTTGTGATCGTATTGCATGAGCAGTATGGATACATAACATGGCTACAGAGCATGTGCAGTTGGTTACACTCTGGCCAGACAAGGGCAAGTTCCAGAGTAGTAGCCAGGCAAAAATCTGTGACGGGGGTACTGGATCCCAGAGAAGGAAATCCCTCTCATCTTTTGGCCCAGTAGTTGAGTTGGGGGTGGGGGTGTACTCACCCGGGTTCTAGGTCCCACTTACACAGAGGGAATTTGAACCTATGTATCTCTCTGACTTCCCAGCACAGTGTTCAAGTCACGATGCATTATCTGGTCACATCTCTAGCTTACCCCTTCATACTTGCCCATTGGGCAGGAAACAGAAGGAGATATGTGGTGCCAGGAAGAAGAGAACAAGTTAGGAGGTATGTGGGTCACTGAGAGAGCTACTGTAGTGGAAAGGAGGGGGCCATGCATTTGAACCTAGACCCTTGATCTGTCTAGGGCAAAAAATCTCCCACTTTTCTTTATCCAATAAATATTAGAGGGTTGGAGAGGGGCCTGAAAAATGCCCAATAAGGCCTAGTTGATAGAGTACTGAGCTAGGAAGTTGAAAGGATGTAGATTCCTTTGTGTGAGGGGAACCTAAAACCTAAGTCACCTGCTTCCTGGACAGGCACTCTACTCACTAGACTATTGGATCAAAACATTGTCTTTATTCCCCTGGATTTTGTCTGACCACAATTTCAGGATTTACACTCACATATGCATGTAAAGAGCTGCGTACCCGCTCTGCTAAAGTGCAGCCTACTGCAGATGATCAGCAGCCATGTGAACACTGCAAATGAAATAGGATCACAATCTGCGTGTAAGTGCTAAAAATGACAACCAATTGAACGGTGCTCAATGTGGAAGTCCAGGAGGTCAGTAAATGTGGCCTTCAGGCATCAGAGATTTCTTCTATCAACTGGTATAACAGAACAGCACAGATGTTCTCTACATGATAACTGCCTGCCTATGGACCCAGTAGAAATGCTCTGACCACATCCTTTATGCATGCTTTGCAGGTGGATCTGGGGCGGGAGAAAGTGATGGTGCAGTTGCAACCTTCCTTCCACTGTATAGCACAGTGAGGTTCCCCCTGCCCGGCTGGCAGAGGACAGCTGAGTGGACCAGACAGGAAGCAGGTGCAGGAAGTGGGGGACTCAGCCACCACCACTATCCCTGGCTGAGCCACTCCTCACAGTTTAAGCCTCCAGATTGGCAGGAACATCTAGGAAGCCAGGCAGGGAATCAGTGTAGGAAGGGGAAGGGAGGAATCAATCCACCACTGCTGCTGTCCCTGTCTGAACCAGAGGTGGGAGGAGTTCCAGGGCTACTCCTGCCCCACTTTTGAGGGAGTAGCTTGAAGGAGAAGCTGCACAGGGTACTGGGATTAACTGGGGACAGTAGCAGCAGCAGGTGGATCCCCGCTTCTAGGCCCTTCTCCAGGGCCTGCCCACCCCTGCAATAACTCTATGCTATCCAGAAATTCCCATACCATGGAGGAATTTCCAGCTGGCCAGATCCAGTAAGTAACAGCTATCTTGTAGTAAGGGAGGAGCACAAAGGGTCCTTAGTAAAGAAGAAAGTCAGATGTACTGTATCTGAGTTAGACACTGTGCTTCTGAGAGTTGCCCCTCTAATGGTGTATCCTTGCTTCCCCCTACTGGGGCTGGCCTTAAATCTTTTAAATTCTTTTGAGGCTCTCCAGGATGAAGGGGCTCTAGGCTGATGGTCACTGGCCACTCCTCCAAGGTAACAGAATGCAACATTTCAATAAATCTACAGTTTCGTTCAATGACACTTGTGCTATTGACTTACTTTGTAAATTTAAGCTGTGAGCTGTCACAAAGCTCAGTGTAACACAAAAGATTTATCTAAAATAGATTCAGCTTAGGAGCACCACCAGTTTCTATTAAAGTAAATGAAAGTTATGGCTGTCAGTGCTTTTATTAGGGTGCCTCAATTAGGTGCTCACCTTCAATTAGTGTGACCTGATCTTTTGAGCACAAAATTAGCACCAGAGATTTAAATAAGTACAGGTGGGAGGATCCCCTTCTTAAGCTTATTGTACTGATAGGTTTTGGGGGTAACTGTCTAGCAAAAACCCCACAGGATTTGAGCATCTGCACCCCCATATAATACAGGACATTTAAACACCACTCTCTGCTTTCCCTCATAATCAGGTTAAAGTCTCCATGCTGATTCTTATCTTATTTACACAGTATAAATCAGAGGCCGCCCCCACTGACTTCTGCAAAGTTACTCTGGATTTAGCCATGGTAAACAGACCACAATTCAGACCTCCTTCTGTCTTCTAGGCCTGTTCTGTGAGTTCTGGGATATCTGGTCCCTGCTTGCATCCCACTGACCTGAGTGCTGACAAAATCAACCCCAGCTTTGAAATTCAATACTAAGTGGAAAATATAGATGTGGGAAGTCCTGACCCCTTTCATTTATAGATGTTTTTCATACTAGACAAGAGGCAGGCACAAAGGTTGCATATTTCCCCCTCCATTGTTTTCAGCATAAGAAAGAAACTGGATTATGGCTCCTTGGGGTATCAGAGCAGGCTAAAGTAGCAGCCAAATGGCAGATTAAACAGACAGTTTTGGAAGTTATGTCTGCAGGGGCATGTAAACCTGTAAAAGAGAAAATCGGAAACTTAAGCACAGACACAAAGCTAAGAAATTAAAAAGGCTGTAGACATTTTGCTCAGTGCTGTGTGAGTTCTCAGGAAAAGCATCTCATCCCATGTTGAAATGGTAAACTTAACTAAATGCCAGTTGTGTGAAGACCTTGGTCACCATGGGGGCTGGACTCGATGATCCTCTGGGGTCCCTCCCAGCCCAAATGTCTATGAAAGTCTATGAAAAACCATGCCCAAATTTCAGAGGATGCTGATATCAGCCATCATATAGAAAAGTAGCACTCTGGGACACCCATATCATGAGGTCCCAAAGGCAGGGCCTATGAAGGGCAGCTCTAGTTTGCATTTGCAGATTACTGTGGCAGATTTCTGTACAGAGCTGAGCACTATGGTGTCCTTGTTAACTGGTGACCAACCTTTTTTGGCAGGTGTGCCACAAAATAAGCCCCACACCCACTCCAAAGTGCCAGTCTGATCCCCTTCCTCTGCATAATTTGTTGCTTTGCTTTCTGCCCCCTGCCTGCTCTGTTGTTCTGTTTCCTGCTCCATGTCCTATCTGTTGCCGTGTCTCCCTGTTCTCTGCCAAGTCTGCTTTGTGACTCACATAGAGGTTGTCCATGTCAGTTGTGGCACACATGCCATGGGTTGGCTGCCTTCTTCTACTCCATGGCTGTTGCTTATAGGTGTTATGGTAATAATAGTGTTACTGTACCAACACTGAATAGAAAACAAATGTTTGAACTAGTTAAATCTTAGCTAAATTGTGGCTTTGCCTGCTTGTCAACACAGGTCAAGTTAGGAGGAGCTATGAGATAACACTTCCAAAATGCTTGGGGAACTACACACAGTCCCAGCTACTACTGTACCCTTTCATTAACAGGGTACAGCATGTGCTTTTTTGTTCCAATGTATGTGCAACATTTGGCTCAACTCTGCTCTCTCTTCTGGGGAGAAGGGTAGCACATGGCACCGTCTTCAACACCTTCAACCAGCTTCCCATAGCACTTCAAGCGGGATCATGCCTAATATATAATTTATTACACATATTACAAAAACTACAGTGCATGAACACAGCACTTGCAAAACCACCTGCCTTGTTCACATGCATTGTGATATATGCTTTCATTACATGATCACATATTATTTTCCCCATAGGCAATGTGATTCAGTGCTCAGAGCATATGGTTATCACCTCAGCCCTGCCACTAACTTTAGTATGTAGCTTTGGAGAAAACAGTCTGCCTGTACCTCAGTTTCCCAGAGGGGAAAATGGCTAGTAATACTATCGCTCTTGTTAAGATCAACCTAGCTTCATTCAAAATGCTAGGTGCTATTGTATTATTATTACAGATTTATTGTCCCATCATGTTTTTTATGTCAATAGAAGTTTCAAATTATCTACATGTATTATTATTTATGATTTGTATTTCTGCAGCATCTGGAGCCCTTAACTGAAACTGGGGCTCCCCTCATACTTGACACTATACGAAAACCTAGCAAGGAACTCCTGCTGCCTTAGAAAGCTTTAAGTCTAAGTAGACAAGCTAGATTAAGATGTTTTAAAGCCGGTGGTGTTATCTCCATTACAGAGAACTGAGATACAGAAAGATTAAACATTTTGCTTAAGATCAAATAGAAAATTTATGGCAGAGCCAGGAATGAAACTCTGTTTCCCTGAGTCTTCACCCAATGCTAGTCACAAGACCAAACTTTTCTTTCCTAAAACCATCAGTGCCAAACAGATTTACAAAAATGATCATTTTAAAGTGTAGCCATGAGAATCTGGCAGGCAAGGAAAAAAAGGGAGTTAAGACATTGACACATACAGAGCTTTTGAGATTAAAATAAGAGGTCTTGGAAAATGAGATACATGCTTCCCCAATGTTTGTATTAGATGTATCTTTCTTACCTTCCCGAATGGCTGTAACAGGCACTCCCTCCTCTGTTTCCAGACTGATAACTTTCAGAGCCACCAATTGGCCATTGATTCTACAGGGACAGAATGAAATGACATAAACTGACTCAAAAGATGCTCATGAGTGTCTAAGGATAAGTCTACATGGCACAGTGCTGTGCAGAGATAAGTTTAGTACCTGTAATAACAGGTTATTAACTTCATGTGTGGTAATCAAGTTACCCAAGTTAGTTGTGAATGTGTTTGTTCAATTATCAAAGTCAATGGCAGAAGGCAGTTTTGTGCAAAGGTATCTATCCTGGCCCTACACACGCTTGTTTTTGGGATTATTCAGCACTTTTCTGATAAGGTTTTTAGGGCTCAGTTCCAAACTCCATCAAATTTAAGCTCAGAAGAGGTTTCTAACCCTAGTTAGATTCGTGACTAAATGAGCCCTGGCATAAAACAGACTAGCAATATGGCTGCTATAACTAGTGTAGAATAGACCCCTAAGAACAATTCTGCTGGTTGGGTATCAGTAGAATGCACTGTATTCCCACTCTGTTTTCCCTATAGGCCAAAACCAAGGCAACCTGAAGATGCCCTAATACAAAGGACTCAACCAGGTTTACACTATGCAAGTATTTCCTCATGCCAAGAGAATCCACTGCTACTCCTTTGGAACAGCTTTATGGTCACTTTGCACAGGACTGGCAGTACAAAGAGACCTTCTGAGGACTTAATCATAGAAAAAAAATTCTGTGAGTATTTTTGGGGGTAAGAGACTCTTCAAAAATATCCACCGTATAACTCGGTAAAGGGAGAATAAAATTTTTATTTTATTCCTGGGTGCAATGTCTACAAGTGCTCCTGGGGCCATAGCAATTAGAGTCAGGGTAGAGCAGCCCTGGGCTGGCAGGGAACATGGCAGTGTCAGCCCCAGGCTCTAGAGGGGGCATTGGGCAGCAGAGGAGCTGACAGGAGCTGGGGGTCTGGCTCTGGCTGGCTGGGCTGACCGGGCGCGATTTGTACCCAGTGGTCACCATCCACACAAGCATTTGATCACAGTTAATTACTCTGTCATAAGATAATAGTAGGCAAATCTACAAGAAACGCTAAAAGTGCAGTAGATTAATTCTACTGCACATCAGTGTATCACAGCTAAAGCCCTGCTAATGCGCTAATGTGCAATAGAATTAGTCTCCTGCAAATTAGAGTAACTTAAAAGATATACGCTGATGCTACTGCACAGTAGCACTGATTACCACACATGAAGTTAAGTACCTGTTATTACAGGTACTAAACTTAATGCACTGTAATTATGGTTCATTAATGCATGTGTAGATGTGCCCACTGTCCCCAACAGTACCATCTTATGGCAGAGTTAATTAATTTACTGCACCCTAATACCGGTGCACATGTAGATGGTGATGCTTTACTGTGGAGTTAATTAGCCAGCTTCACAGTAAAGCCATGTGTAGATGCACCCACTCAGAATCTAATTTTGAATTAATTCCTTGCATTCTGGTAACTGGATAAAATTAATGAGGAAGTAGAGGGAAGCTTACTGTGGAACTTGCTCACCTGCTGATCCCTTTGTAAACTGTAGAATAAGAACCTTCGCAGAGCTTCTCAAGATGCAGATAGGATGTGGCAGTTCCAAATGGGAGGCCTCGTCTCTGCTTAGATGAGGAAAATGTATATTTTTAGATGTTTCTTTTTTCAGCTAAAATAGAGGCTGATGCATAACATCCATTCTGTACATAACTCTTAGTAATCAGATCATGATTCATGGGAATATTGAGCTCAGGATAAATATCTTCCCTTTGACTCCATGTATACTGTGCACTCACCCATTGGTGTCTCTCCATGAACTTTCTCTCCTGGAAAGGATCACTGTTACTTCGCCGACTCTTTTTCCGAGACCTCTCTACCTGGAGTGTGTGGAACCATGGTGATGGGAATGAAGTCACAGAATGTGGCACTTTGTTTAGACCTGTGAGCTGTGGGAAAAAAGCAAACTAAATCAAGAATAAAACAAGGCAACCTCTCTCTTACTATTGATGCTATTTTTTCCTTTCATCTTGATTTCTGTGATTCTCAGCTCTTGGTTATATTTCCATCTCCTCTCCCATATTCATGGCTCTCTGTATAGGCATAATGGGAGCAACTGCTACAACCTTTGTACATACTATAGATGATATTTAAGAATATATCTGGAACTGGGCTGCCTTCAACGCTTGGTATCATTTCAACCGATATTACATGTTTTTGGTGACATCCATATTAGACTTTCTTCCCCATGATTTCATCTTCTTTCTAGCTTGTAATCTGTGTGGAACAGGGACTATAAGGTAAAATCAGAGGTGAGACTGAAAGGAGTCCCATTTTACACTTTCTGCTCCTTGTTTCCCCTTTAGTTCCCCTTCATACTGAGACAGTTTTATCACCATGCCTGTATTTGGCCCACTGTTATTCTATTGCTATAAAACACCACAAGAAGTTATAGAACCCTACAAATATTCAATGACAATAATAGTTATCAGTGAAATTCAGCCTCCTAGCATGTCCTGCCTGTATTACTATTTAATCCGGATGTAACAGAATTTCTGATCCATGTCATAATGCCTCCTGCAGCAAACTGTAGATCTTTTGCCCTCCCCCCTCCCCTATTTTTCAGTTCTTCCTTGTAACAGAAATTGCTGGTGTGGGACCTGTCTTCTCAGATCATCACGCTGAGGGAATTAATTGTATCCTTAAACAGGGGGTGATTATAATTCTTCTCTCAGTAGGGTATCCACAAGCCTAACGGTGAAATAGCTGGAAGCTTTCTCTATGTTTTCAGTGGAAAGTTTCACTGAAGACTCTAAGATGCTTAATTGACCTAACTGCTGAAATGCTGTTTGGGATACTGAATACCTCCAATGTAGACTCCACTTCCACATGCTGGGGCTCCTGGTGGTGTTGAGGGCCCTCTCTCTCTGAGCAGCAACCGCAGCATCCTGGTTTCCGAGCTTTTATACACAGAATTTCCCCCATGTTCTCCTAAATTCAGTTGAAAAAACAGTAGATTGTATGTCTCTCTTGCCTCTTTGCTGCTTTTTCACCAAACGTCTGTAGTAACAGCGTTCATGTGACTCACATGAGATCTGTCTCAAGCAGTCTCATGATTTCAGCATTTTTTCTCCATAAATCTAAAACCCAATGACCCAAATTCATCCCTGGTGTAACTCCACTGACTACAATGAACTTGGCTTAGTATCTTCTAAAAACTACCAATATTTTATGTACAAACCAAGGAGAAAAAAATACCCACACCAACCCCTCAAAAATCTTCTGCTCACACAATGTTGTTTTAACTCAGTGTTACTTACCAACAAATAGGAAGTTATATTTCTTACTTAACGGTTCTTGGCCTCCCTTCACATATGTATTGGTTTGTATTGCCTCGTATATCAGTAGGTTTTATTCTAAGGTATATGAGTGAGGTGGTGAATTATGGTTGTAGCAAAAACCCTTAGCTTGAATTTCCTCCCTTCTGCACATTTACATTTTTTAGCCATAGTATGCAGAAAGCTTTGGGCGCTATATGTCTTTGTTTAGTTGTTTCTGAAGGACAGAGAAAAGCTGTGATTCATGGAATATATTCTGGACAACGGTGCAAAGCAGTGCTAGCAGATCAATGAATCCAGCTCAGAATAGATTCAATCAATTATATATTGCAAAGGCAGTGTACGCTAGCCTTACATTGGCCAGAGATCAATGGCTGTGATGGCTGTGTCAACACCAGTGCTGCCTCCTGTGCCAATCATCCTCTTTGATCCACTATAAGAGGAAGGAATGAGTATGTCATGAGTGCTTTGGGGCCAGAAAAGGAAGAGAGGGAAATGGTAGAGCGAGACTCTGCTACATGTACTCTTCACTGGAATTAGATCCCTACAACTTTATCTGTGACTGTAGGGGACAGGACTAGGAGCAATGGCTTCAAACTACAGCAGAGGAAATTTAGGTTGAAGATTAGGAACAACTTTCTCATTATGAGGGAGGTCAAACATTGGAACAGGTTACCTAGGGAAGTTTTGGAACCTCTGTCCCTGGAAATATTCAAGAATAGGTTAGACAGACACTTGGCTGGGCTGGTTTTAATCAGTGATGATCCTCCTCTGTGCAGGGGGCAGAACTAGATGATCTCAAGAGGTCACTTCCTGCCCTACTTTCTTATAATTCTATGATCCTATCCTATGATTCCTGACTGAAGCTTCAAAATTGTCATGTTTATTTGAATTCATTATATGAAATCTTCCTTTGACTTCAATCCATGGAGTCGAAGTAACCCTCTTCCCCTAATTCAGTGTTGAAAGGGGTTTGTTTATCAAAAAGAAGCACAAGAGTTATTCCTTTGTCCCATTGATCAGGGAGTTGTAGTAGCCCTACTTCTGTTATAACTCCCCTGGAGTACATGGCCCCAACAAGGGAAAAGATACAGCATAAGAAATTACAGTGCTTGGAAGACAGGGAGGTACTTCCCAGCCAAACCCAAACAGGTCTCCAGTGAGCAATTTATTGCTAATACCTCCCATCCCATTTTTTGGTCATTTCCTTCTTTTCTTTGGAGTAGGTTTGTAGTGTTGCTGGAACTGCAATGGTCCAGAAAATGTATGAGGGGCAAGGATTATTTTGATGATATTATTATTAGCCTAGTTCAGTAGCATAACGGAGGGGGGCGGGCAATCAGGGCAGCAGCCCCAGGCACCCTCTTTGTGGGGGGATTCAAAAGCAGCAACTGATTGCGCTGCTGCTATTGGCATGGCAGCAGCCGGTGCTACCCCATGTGCCATGCAGCTTCCCTGGGCATGGAGCTGTGCTGTTGAGTCTCTGGCACAATTATATACTTGGGAGAGATGTTAAACAAAACAATTATACTGCCTTAAGAGGGTGGGGCAGACCGCTGTTCATGTGAATCTACTCTAAGTGTTATACGTGTTCTCTCTGTAGGTAAAGTTAAGCTACCATAGTTGATCATGTGCTTAATTCTGGGGTGAATTGCTGAGGTTTCCCTTCTCTTACTGTGGCATATGAGTGACAGACAAAACAATCACAATGGATCAGCTGATCTGCACTCTTGGGTGGTAAATCCTCCCTTCCTCCCCATCCCCGTACATCCCATTTGTCCACAGCTTTGGCATACACATAGTCTGGAAATGTTAGCACATCTCTTGTTTTTTCTTTCATGTTTGTGTAATTCTGTACTTCCTTAGCTTTGGCATAGCACCAGCATGTATCCCTGGAGCATACCAATCTTGATGGAACTATGCAAAAAACATGAAAGATTTTGGATGTAATTGTATTGTGAGCTGGTGTCAGGTATCTACTTAAGCGAATCCACTTTTAAACACAGTGGACCTCTGATCCAGATGATGCTGGAGCAGTGGAGAATGCACATGTAAGCAGCCAGGCCAATCTAGATGTGAAAAAACACAGTATGCCATAGCAGTGGGAGGACCAGGGATGAAATTGGGATGCAAGATATGAACCTTATAGTCAGGGATTTACCTAGATTGTGCCAGAAGTGCACTGCACAGTGGCTCTTTTAATCTCTTTCCACTATGCACCCGCCACTAATTGACAGAGGGGCCCTGGCAGCCCTGTTGCTCACTGACTCCTGATTGGTTGGGGGCCAAAAACCAGTTTTAAATATGCTGCAGTTTTTGCCTCCTGCCCAATCAGCAGCAAGTGGTGGGGTCTCCAGGGCCCCTCGGCCAATCAGCAGCAGGGGGAATAGGGGGTGGGGAAAGGAAAAGGACTCATTGCGAAAAGACAAAGATTAAAGGAGCTGCTGCACAGTGCAATTCCAGTGCAATAAACCCCTTCTTATAGTGGTATAAAAATTGTATATTTTGGATTATTTTTATTTCCCTGTGGGTTTTTGAGCCTTTATGAACTCTTCCCATCTTGAGTTCTTCTCTGCCATCCTGAGGGCTAGAAACATACTTTTTTTTTATTTTAAAGAAAGCTCTAGTAGTCGTATGATCATGTGACCCCAGGAGCTGAGGCTTTAAGAATCAAATCAAAGATTGTGAGCTTTCCCATCAAGTAGTGAGAGTAGGTAAGATTGAAGCCACAGCTATCTGAACCTCACAACACACGCCTAATCTTAAAAATACGGGCACCGATTCAGGTTTTAATAATAGGAAGGAAAAGGTTTTGTTCCTGACTGCTTTTTAGCATTTGTTATATGTTGTGACACACCCAATATTAAGTGTTTCTTTTCTTTTTAATTTTATGGTTTATATTTTATCTGTTTTTATCATTTATCTTGCCGTTCATTGTAAACGGCCTTGAGCCTTTCCTGGGGACTAGGACAGGCAGTATATAAATCTAATAAATAAAGACATTAGATAATGAAGTGGCAAGTGTACATATGTAAACCTGCCCCTCTACTGGGTGGGAATTAGAAACGTTCAATTTATGTGCTCACACCACCCTGATTTTGATTGCAGCCAGGGGTCAAGCATAGGGTGGCCATCAGAGGACAGTTCGGTTGTCCTCTATTGACATGAAACTGGACACAACTTTATGTCCTCTATTTTTTTCTTGAAGGGGAGGGCATAAAGGCATTGGGGGTTTCGTATCAATAGAGGACAGAGTAGCAGAAACCGGAATATCCTCTGTGATGGCCACCCGAGTCAAGCAGCCTGTGACCCACAGGCCATATTTGGCCTGCAGAGCCATTGGATCCAGCTCGCAGAGCTGGGGCTTTGGTGATGGCGGCCAGGTGCTGTCCTGTGCCTTGTTGCAACTGGTCAGCTGGGTGCTTCCCTATGCCATGCTGAGGCTGGACAGCAGGGAGAGGCAGTGTCAGGAAGAAGCAAGGGTGGCAGCAGCACCAGGCAGGCCTGTTTGCACCTGAGCTGGGCATTGCAGCCTGCCCCTCAAAACACTGATGGCCACTGGTTGAAACAGAGGTTTAAATGGAAACAGATGCCAACATCGAGAGCTGGGAGGAGCTGGCTGCCAAGCGACACCAACGGTGCCACCACCACCACAACCAGGCAGCAGCCGGTTTCGAGGTAAAGCCGCTCGCCCTCAAAGCAGAGAAGCGAGCAGAGGAGGGAAAAGGAGGAGTCGCTTCTTCGCTGAAAGACCGGCGACTTCTGCGGACGGATCCGTGGCTCGAGGACTGGGCTCTTCACCCACCTCAAGACCTGCCCACGAGCCGGGGGTAGGGCTCATCCTCCAGTCGAGGGGTTGCCCGTGCCGCCAACAGGCAAGGCTCAGCTACCTTGTACAGCACCGCTGCCTGAGGCAGGGCAGGGAGCCGCTGCGGAGCCCGCGCCTCCTCCTTGTCTTGGCCTCAGTCTGCCGCGCCCGCTCAAGCGAGGAGGCGGCTGGGCCGCGCCGGGGGCTACGGGATCCACACCGGCTCCGTGCTCTGCACCCGCAAAATGCCAGAGTTCCTCAGCGGCGCTGCGGGGCGCGGAGCCGGCGGAGCCCACGTGGAGGAGATGGGGTGCAGGGGGGCAAGCAGGAGTCCCGGATGTGTCTGACACCCTGCTGGGGGCAGGGGTGGCTCCTTGCCGCTTTGCAGCGGGCGGGCGGCCCGGGGGCGCCGCTCTGCACCTGCGGGGCTGGCAGCGGGGGACGCTGCTAATGGTCGACCTCTCCCCCCTCTCCTTGCCCTGACACCCTAGCTCAGCTCCGCTCCTTACACTAGTTTGTCCCCCGCGGGAGCCCGTCCGCCGGCTCAGCCCAACCCTCGCGCTGCGGCCTCTTTAAATCAAGCCCCGCCCCTTCACCCTGCAGGCCCCGCCCCGCGCCCCAGCCGTGAATCAGCTGATCGGAGCCCCAGGACCCGCGGACGGGTCACGTGACTGGGAGCCCGCGCCGCGCTGCCTACCTCCCATCCCCCCGCCCGCAGCCCCCGGCGTGTCCCCACTTCCCCCCCGGGTTGCTTTCCCGCTTTGCGCAGGGCTGGCAGCGTGACTGCAGGGGGAGAGCAGAGGGTGGGCGGGTGCGCGTCCCTGGGATCCTCCTGCCCTGCCCTGCCCTGGCGCTTTTCTACGGGCCCTGTCCCTGCATGACCCGCCTGGGGCCAGGTTGATCTCCCTGCCCCCCTCAGCTCCGTGCAGGGCTGGGAAGGAGGGAGCCTCGTCCTCCTCCCTGCCTGCCTCGTCTCCTTCCTGCTGCTCTGCTTTCTGCTCCCTGCCGAGCTGGCTGTGCCCACCACTTCGTCCCCACTCTGTTGCCCATGGGCGCTGATAAAGGTGTGCTGGGGTCGGTGAGGTGTTTGAAGAACTGGCCGTGCTCTCTTGGCCCCGGTGTCTGGGCGTTGTTGCCCTAATGTCTGTCTCCCCACTCTCCCGTCAGAGTAAGGGTCCTTAAGCCAGTTGTGATGTGTACTCACCCAACCTAGTCATCTCTAAGGGAGTTACTGCTGTTTTTGCTCCTGTGATGGCATGGATGACATCAGCCCTCTTAAGTAACTTACTTTACATTTTTGAGGTGTGAAATTTATTTTTTAAAAGGGGAAATGCTTTTCTAGCATAGTTTAAAAAAAATGGAAATTGATGGAATACCAGCATGGACCAAAGGAATGGGTCTTGGGAGTGGCAGTAGGTGTACTCACCCTTGCAAGCTGTGTTGGTTCCTGTTTTGAATTTGGTTTATTTGGTAGTTCAAGGAGGGCTATTATCTGAGGCCTGTTTAACCACTTGGGTTCAATAAACTTGGGCTCATAGGAAAGCAGGGCTGGAAGGGACCTCACAAGGCCATCTCTAGCTCTCCTACTGAAGACAGGATTATCCCCAACAAAACCAGCTCAGCCAATTGTCCGTCTAACCTGCTCTTGAAAACTGCCGAGGGTGGAGATTCTCCAGCGTCTCTAGGTAGCTTGTTGTAGTGCTTGACCACCCTCGTAATCGCAAAGGTCCTCTTAATTTCCAGCCTAAATTTTCCCTGCTGCAGTTTGAAGCCATTGCTCCTAGTCCTGTCCTGTATGGCCACAGGAAAAGGCTTATCTCCATCCTCTCTGTAATTGTTGTTCAGGTATTTGTAGACATCAAATCCTCCTTCAGTCTTCTCTTCTGCAGACTAAACAATCCTCATTCTTTCAATCTTTCCTTGTAAGTGTTGCCTCCTAGGCCCCTAATCTCTTTGTTTTTTCTTTTTGCTCTGAACTAGGCTCTTTCCCAACTGTCTGCATCCTTCTTGAAGCATGGGGCCCAAAACTGGACACATTTCTCCAGGTGAGGCCTCACCAGTGTTGAATAGGGTAGAAGAATCACTTCCCTGGCTTTGCAAGTGACAATCCTGTTGGTGTAACCCAGTAAGCTGTTGTTTTGTTTTGGGGTTTTTTTGCCATAGGAGCACACTGTTGGTTTGTATTCACCTTGTGGTCTACTGTAACCCCCCCCAGGTCTTTCTCTACAGTACAGCAGCCTAACCAAGCATTCCACTGTCTGTATTTGTGCACACAATTATTCTTTCCGAAGTGCAGGACTTTGCACTTGTCCTTGCTGGTTTCATTTAATTGATCATGGACCATTTTTTTTTTTTTTTTTTTTTTTTCAGTCTGTTCAGGTCATTTTGGATCCTAGCTCTAGCGTCTGGAATATTTGCATCGCCAACCAATTTAGTGGAATCTGCCAATTTCCTAAACATGCACTCAATCCCATCATTTAAATCATTAAGATATTGAACAATACCAGACCTAGGACAGACTTCTACGGAACCCGATTTGGTACCTCATCTCAACTGGATATTGATGCATTGATGAGTACTTATTGAGTCCCACCAGTTATGCATCCATCTTGCAGTACTTTACTCTAGTCTGTATTTTGCTAGCTTGTAAATGTGAGAGACGGTGTCAAAAGCCCTATTGAAGTCAAGGCGTATCGCATCTATTGCTCTCCCTATCCACAGAACCCATCGCCTTGAAGCAAATCAGGTTGGCCTGACTTGCTCTTTGTGAATCTATGCTGGCAGTTCCTGATTACCTTGTTCTTCTCAAGATGCTTTACAGTAGATTCTTTGAGGGCCTGCTTCATGACCTTCCCAGGTATAAGGTCAGGCTGAGTAGTCTGTAGTTGCTCGGGTCCTAAGTCTTCCCTTTCTTGAAGATGGACACTATGTTTCCCTTTTCATTTATCTGGGACCTCACCCAACCTCTGTGAGTTCTCAAAGAGGATAGTTAATGGCTCTGAAAATACATTCAGCAAATTCTTTTAGCACACTGGTGTGCATCCTGTCTGGCCTTGCTGACTTGAAAGCTTGATGTTCTCAGTCCCATACCTAGAAGCTTAATATGTTTGTTTGTGTAGAATCCAGCATGACTGGAGCTACATGACACTTGTTGGTAGTTTTAAAATAGAAGTCACAAATTGCAAAGTAATGGCTTTTATTATTAGAGGTGGATCTCCCAGAGGTAAGTTCAGTGCACTTGTGGGAAAGCAGGTGATGCTTTTAGTAGTGTTTGGGGGGGGGGGGGGGGGGTTTTTTTTTTTTTTTTTTTTTTTTTTAATTAAGGGTTGTTTGGA